GTGTTGCATCACTATTAGTGTCTTCTGTAGAGATGTTTTTAGTATCTTGGAGCGACTGGATACTGCTGTTACTTGTAATTTCAAGAGGGGATGGGGTTCAAGCTTACGCGATGGATTTGGATCAGGGTCCAGGTTCTACAAAATAATGAAAATATTAAGCAAATTTTACGTAGCACGCGAATCGACGCTTTGCCCGGTTTCACATAATAAAAGTCGTACCTGCAAACTCCACTTATTAAAATTATTCACTGATGGTGTATGCTCATTCACATGTTGTAGGAATTTCAAAGCTTCATAGAACTTCCAGCTGGTCTGTACGTTTTCGTCTCCGCCGGCACCGCTTCTCTTTGCCTTGTCCATCCTCTGCTTCTCTGAACTGAAATATGACTTGATGTTGCACCGCTTGTGCGTAAANTGAAAAGGATGACTCTGAGTCAAAGCCTGGATCGAAACATTCTGCAGGCTGCAGTTGCTCCCCAAGCTTACGCGATGGATTGGGATCAGGGTCCAGGTTCTACAAGAGAATGAAAATATTAAGCAAATTTTACGTAGCACGCGAATCGACGCTTTGCCCGGTTTCACACAATAAAAGTCGTACCTGCAAACTCCACTTATTAAAATTATTCACTGATGGTGTATGCTCATTCACATGTTGTAGGAATTTCAAAGCTTCATAGAACTTCCAGCTGGTCTGTACGTTTTCGTCTCCGCCGGCACCGCTTCTCTTTGCCTTGTCCATCCTCTGCTTCTCTGAACTGAAATATGACTTGATGTTGCACCACTTGTGCGTAACTTCATCTTTAAATACATATATGTATTATACAAACATATAATATATCTTTTAGTTATTACATGTGAACTTGCTAAAAACTTACTGTATTGAAATGGTACATTTGCTGTGAACGTTGAGTTCATTTCATCCACCAAAGCGAGTTGGTGGTTGGTAGTTGTCTTGCCACTTTAATTTCATTTTTATTGTTACAAAACTGTTTTACATCAATTTTAATTTCGTTTATTTGAATTTCGGTAATGAAACGTCAAAACTCAGCTGTTCTTCACACAGAATTTGTCTTTCTCTAACACATTGCCGAATAGTTTTTGTAATTTGACTTTCGTCAGTTTTTTTGTTTGTATTTCAAATGAAAAATACAGGAAAAAAACGTAGTATCATACGGGCATTACTTTATCACGTCAGTAATATAAAATATAAAATATTTCTTTGCAACTGCCACCTAACAAAGCGTTGTTAAATTTAATATATGGGGCGTGAGTCTTTTCGATCAGCTGTTTGGCTAAGCCCAACACGTTGTGCTCAGGTAGCGTAAAAATTTTCAGCTGGAAAAATGGCGGAAAGTTGCCAACTGTTGGGCTAAGCGTAACTACTCAACTGTGCGTTTCTAAGACAAACAGCCAACGGTTACCCAACAGCTACGACTTATGAACGCGCCCATTGAAAAATGTTGTTTTAATTTCTACACACACTCTTACAGATTTTGACAGTTTATGCAACCAAAGCAAAAACAAAATACATGTATATTTTTGTTTTTGTTCTCCTGCTATCATCTTATGTTAATTCGCCTTGAGGTCGGTGTTATGCAGAAATTTTGTTTGGCAATTGTTGTTGCAGCAAACTCGGAGAGAGCGAGTTTGGCGACTCTCATGATGCAATAAAACCAAAGAACGTAGATAACGTCTACGTTCTTTGATAATACAAGGTGTTATCAGTTGGCAACTTCTCGCTCTAATTCCGCCAT